GCACTGATGAAAACTGTGTGACTATGTGTTCAAAAGCATCTTTTTCATGGTCTTTCCCCCAGGCTGTTATGGTGCTGTGTTCTGCAGCTGGAACAGAATAACCTGGAACAGGATCTTTTGTTCCATAGTATTTCTTAATTAAAGCAATCCCTGCTACTGTATCTGTTCCTTTGAAGTTAACCAAATGAGCAGAGGCCCCTATGCCAGCAGTCTCTTGGGAAGAGACTCCTCTGTACCCAAAATCATGCAATTTATATTCCAGACCATCTAAGTTACCAGAAGTTTCTAATAAATATTTGGCCAGTATTTTCTTCTGCTCTCTTGAATTTGTTGCCACTGTGATTGGATACCAAGGCTGAACAAGAATAGTCTCAATCCAATTCGTAAGCCAGTAACATTCTGGGTCTGTGTTTTCCACTGTGAAGAGAACGTTTCCTCTGGGAATGACAGAGCCCTCTGGAACAGCTTTTATTTCTATTGGAAGATGCCCATCATATCTCTCAAGAATGCAATTCCATCCTTTCTCATTGAAGACATCATCTTGGAAATGCTCTTTGTAGACTTCTTTGGCTTCCTGGATTTTCTCTTTGGTCACTACTTTACCTTTTAAGTACTTATTCAGAATGTACTGCAACCCATAAAATACTGTTTCCTCGTATTTCACCTTCCTTCCTTTGGAGTTTTCTGTCTTCTTTTCACGGCATTCAAAGTAAGAATAAACTTTGCTTGTGTTGGGTGGGTACTGTTTATAAAGGGTAACCTTGTAGGAGTCGGTGGCAAGAAGGATGTTGAACTCGACTTCTGCCGCAGCATTCATCTCGGGCCGGAGTGTCGGGGCCGCGCGCCCCGGGCTTCATGGCGCGGCTGCGAGGAAAGAGAAAAATGGGCTTCACCACGCTCCGTTGCTTAAGTCACCGCTCGGTCGGAGGGGGAGGGACAGAGGAGGGGGAATCGGAGCGGGAAGGAGGGGCCAAGGACGGGCGGGCTCGGGAGCCGTGACGCGGCCGAGGTGGTGGCGGCGGCGGTGGCTCCCGTGTTCGCAATCCCGGAGCCCGGGCGGCCTCCACACCTCGGCTCCCCCGCCTCCACCCCATCCCCCCGGCGGGGCCGAGAAGGGGGCCGGAAGCCTGTTTTTATCTTCTGGATGGGGCTTCTCACCTTTGTCGAGGTAACAAGAACCACCTTGTTGCTTGTGTTCTGGGTTCACTTAGTCAAACCTGACAGCAGTTTCCCCCCAAATTATCTGAATTAGTAAAAAGGAAGCCTGTTGTTCTCTTCTGGAAGTGGCTTCCCACCTCCATGGAGGTGCTAAGGACCCAATTTTGCCTGAGTTAGAAATCCCACGTGGTCAAGCCTGACAGTAATTTTTTTCTTCAAAGTACCTTAAGGAAAATATCTGTTATTCCCTTTTCGAAGTGGCTTCTCGCCTCCATAGAGGTGTGCTGGACTATCCTGTTGCTTCTGTTAGGAGTTCCATGTGGTCAAGCCTGACAGCAGTTCTTCCCAAAAATATCTGTATGGGTAAGGAGGAAGTCTGTTGTTCTCCTCTGGAAGTGGCTTCTTGCCTCTTTCCAGGTGCCCAGCACCACCCTATTGCATGAGATGGGGGTCCCACGTGGTTGAAACTGACAGCAGTTTGTTCCCAAAAGAATCTGAATGAGCAAGCATAAAGCCTGTTCTTCCCTTCTGGAAGTGGTTTCTCACCTACATTGAGGTGGCCAAAGCCTTTATATCTCGAGATAGTGGTAAAACCTGATAGCAGGTTTTGCCCTAATACCTGAATGAACAAGGGGAAAGTTCTCTTCTGGAAGTGGTTTCTCACCTCAGTTGAGGTGCCCACGACTTTCCTGTTGCTGAGTTAGGGCTTAAACTTGGTAAAGCCTGAAAGCAGGTTTGCTTGTTTGTTTACCAAAAGTACCTGAATGAGCAAGAAGCAAGAATGCTGTTCCCTCTGGAAGTGACTTCTGACCTCTGTAGAGGTGCTCAGGACCCTCCTTTTGCTTGACTTAGGGGTGCCACGAGGTCAAGCCTGACAGCAATTTTCCCCCCAAAGTACCTGAATGAGCAAAAAGGAAGCCTGGTATTTCCTTCTTGAAGTGGCTTCTGGCCTACGTCATGTTGCCCAGGATCTGCATGCTACTTGAGTTTCAGGTTCCAAGTGATCAAATCAGAAAGATTCCCCCCCCTCCCCCATAAGTACCTGAATGAGCAAGCAGGAAGCCTGTTGTTCCCTTCTGGAAGTACGTTCCTGCCTCTCTTGAGATGCCCATGACCACCCTGTTGCTTGAGTTACGTGTCCAATGTGGTGAAGACTGACAACAGTTTTTCCTCTAAGTACCTGGATGAATAGGGAGGAAGCATGGTGGGCCCTTATGGAAGTGGATGCTGGCCCCTGTCAAGGTGCCCAGTATCCCCCTGTTGCTTGAAATAAGGATCCCAAATGTTCAAGCCTGGCAGCAGGGTTTTTTTTTCTCCAAAGAACCTGAATTAGGAAGGAGAAAGCCTCTTGTTTCTTTCCAGACGTGGCTTCTCTCCTCTGTCTGGGTATCCAGGATCAACCTGTTACTTGAGATAGGGATCCCACGTGGTTAAACCTGACAGCAGATTTTTCCCAAAGTACCTGAATGAGCAAGGAGGTAACCTGTTGTTCCCATATGCAATTGCTTTATTCTTACATTGATTTGCCTAGGACCTCCCTCCCCCCACCCAGTTGCTTGAGTTTGGAGTCCCAAAACAGCAGTTTTCTCCTTAAAGTACCTGACTGAAGATGGTGCAAGCCTGTTGTTTCTTTCTGTAAGTGGCTTCTTGGCTCTATCTAGGTGCCCAGGGCCACTCTGTTGATTGAGATAGAGGTCCCAGATTCTCAAGACTGACAGCAGTTTATTCCCCAAAGTACATGAGTGAGCACGGAGGATGCCTGTTGTTCCCTTCAGGAGGAGGCTTCTCGGCTCCATTGAGGTGCCCAGGAATTTCTTGTTGCCTGAGATAGTGGTCCCACGTGGTCAAGAATAAGAACAGTTTTCCCCCCAAAATGTACATGAATGAGCAACAAGGAAGCCCATTGTGCCCTTCTGGACGTAGCTTCTGGTCTCCATCTAGATGCCAAGAACTCTCCTGTTCCTTGAGATAAGGGTCCCAGTGGTAAAGCCTGACAGCAATTTTTCCCCAAAAGTACCCGCCTGAGCAAGCAGGTAGCCTCTTGTTCCCTTCTGGAGTGACTTCTGGCCTCCATCGAGGTACCCAGGACCCCTCTGTTGATTGAGATAGGGGGTCCCAGATTGTCAAGACTGACAGCAGTTTTCCCCCAAAGTACCTGAATGAGCATGGAGGAAACCTGTTGTTCTTTTCTGGTAAAGGTGTCTCACCTCCATCGGGGTGCCCAGCACCTCCCTGTTGCTTGAGTTAGGGTTCCCTCTGGGTCAAGCCTGCCAGCCAGTTTTGGGTTTTTGGGTTTTGGGGTTTTTACCCAAAATACCTGAATGACAAGAAGGAAACCTGTTGTTCCCTTCTGGACTGACTTATGGCCTCCATCGAGGTCCCCAGGACCCTGCTGTTGCTTGACTTAGGGGTCCCACGTGGTCAAGCCTGACAGTAGCCTTTTCCCCAAAGTACCTGAATGAGCAAGAAGAAAACCTGATATTCCCTTCTTGAAATGGCTTCTGACCTATGGAGAGGTGCCCAGGACCCACCTTTTGCTTGAGTTTGTGGAACCACGTGGTCAAGACTGACAGTATTTTTTCCCCTGAAAGTATCTGAATGAGCAAGCAGGAAGCTTGTTTTTTTCCTTCTTGAAGTGTCTTCTCACCTCCTTCTAGGTGTCCAGGACCTCCCAGTTGCTTCAGATAGGGGTTCCATGTTGTCAAGCCTCATAGCACATTTTTTCCTCCCCAAAATACCTATTAAGGAGAAAGCCTGTTGTTCCCTTATGGAAGTGGCTTCCTGCCTCCCTTGAGGTGCTCATGACCACCATGTTGCTTGAGTTACATGTCCCATTTGGTGAAGTCTGACAGCAGTTTCTCCCCTAAGTACCTGACTAAGCAAGGAGGAAGCCTGTTGTTCCCTTCTGGAAGTGGCTTCTCAGCTCTGTCTAAGTTACCAAGACTCTCCTGTTGCTCAAGATAGGGGTTCCACGTGGTAAAGCCTGACAGCAGTTTTTCCACAAACTACCAGAATGAGGAAGCAGGAAGCCTGTTGTTCCCTTAAAGAGGTGTCTTCTCACCTCTGTAGAGGTGCCCAAGATCCCTCTGTTCATTGAGTTAGGGGCATCAGTGGTCCAGACTGACAACAGTTTTTTCCTCAAAGTACATGAATGAGCAAGGAGGAAGCCTGTTCCTTTCTGGAAGTGGCTTCTCACCTACATTGAGGTACCCAGGACCGCCCTATTGCTTGAGTTCCAGGTACCATGTGGTCAAGCCTGACAGCAATTTCCCCCCAAAATTGCCTGAATGAGTAATGAGGAAGGCTGTTGTTCCCTTCTGGAAGTGGCGTCTCACCTCCGTGGAGGTGCTCAGGACTCCTTTTGCTTGAGTTAGAAGTCCCACGTGGTCAAGCCTGACTGTATTTTTTTTTTCTTCAAAGTACCTAAATGAATAAGGAAAATGCCTGTTATTCCCTTTTGGAAGTGGCGTCTCCCATCAATAGAGGTGTGCTAGTGTTTCTGCCCATTTACCAGTGGGGAGCAGCAACATCCTGACAGCGTTAAGTGTGACAGAGACACACCATTCTGGGAGTGCTGCAGAGAGCCAAACTCAACTTTATTGGGGGTTACGGTGCACTTATATACAGGTGAGTAAACAAGAAGACAGGATGGAGTGGGATTGTAGACGTGGAACATGCAGATTGAACAGGAGAACCTCAGCTCAATGAAGACCACTTCTACCTCAACAGAGGCAGCAGCCATCTTAGGCTTACACTTATCTGGAGGTAGGGTATCTAACCCTTCCAGAGGCCTCCCCCTCCTCCCTAACATTCCCCAACATCTCCTTCTTTTTTCTTTTGTTAAATGAGCTTAGAGAAGAGAAAGCTTTTGTTGTAGAGACTCCGATGTTGCTTGGGATCAGGACAATTCAATGACAGTAAGGGTTGAAAGATTTAGTGCTGCTGCTTATAATATTATAGATCGACAGATTATACAAAATATGAACAATAATTTGATTACAATTAACAGCATACTTAAAATAATTTTTAAACAAGGATGAAATATAAAATTGCATTATATCTTATAGGCTTTAGCAGAAACTAGCAAGGAATAACCTCAGTGTGTAGCAAACTAGTTACCCTCTCTTCTAAACAACCAAGTTCTGTGCAAAAATCCTTTGAAGACAACACAAGAAGGAGAAAACAAGTTTATCCAGCATAATTTTTTGAACACCTAATATTTTATTAGCAACAAAAAGTCCTGGAAATGTCTCTCCCACAGGGGCACTGGAGGAACTCCATCTTGAAAGGACAAGTTTTCCCTATACTGGGCACCTTCCTTCCTGAGGGGCCTTTTCATTAAATGCTGGTTTAAAGTTCTCCCAGGAGTAAGCTTTTATCCCATGGCTAATTTTTCAGAATAAACAAGCACAGGACAAATTTTGGGTTTGATTCTGCTTTGAGCACGACAGGCCATAATCCCATGTCTTATTATCAAGTGTTTTGTTGCCACCTCATTCTGTGCCAGTGTCATCAGAGTCAATTGTGAAAGTGTTCTTCCAAGCAAATAGCAGCTTAGAGTTTGGCTTTTTCTTAAAGTTATTTCACGTTAGCTCCTCTGCCTGCATGTGCGTAGAACTTTCAGATTACTTTTGCCATTAGAGGAAGGTAGTTCTTATC